TAAGTAGACTCCACCAAATATTGAATGCTGTATCACTCTGTATCTAATGTATTTCAAAGCTGTTAACAATTCTCCTTGACTGACTTTATGGTAATTTATGATTAAATGTAATGATTAACTGTAATGTACATGTATTTATTTTTCAATAACCTCTTAAAAGATTTCAACTAAATATTTCATCACAGGTACATGTTATTAATGCAAAAAGTGAGTCAGAAAATAAGTTCTTTTATTTTGCTATTACATAGCAAAAAAATGACATATTTGCAATACATTGTATAAAGAATATAATGTTATGTTTCCTTCAACCATGATGCCAGATGTTTTGTTTCTTTTTCATAAATGAAAATGTTAATACATGTAACATGTTTATGAAAGTCTAATGTAAACATATCTGCATTTCATTTAAGACTTTTAGTGGAAATTGTCATGGTTTCAATAAATAGAGTGCACCTAATAAGAAAAGGTACATGCAGATTATAAAATATTGTTCTTTCTTGTATAAACCTACAGAAGAGCATCAACATTTATTTCTATTTGAAATTTTAAACAGGTCAAGGGGTCAATCTTTATATTATCACAATGATTATCCCACAAACTTGTGGTTTGACATGTTTGCATGATCATAATTCTAAAATTTGTAACACCAGGGAAGAGATTTAATTAAGTGTGCCTAGTCAGTAAAATGTGGCACAAAAAACAATTGATATTAGAGGTTTAGTTAATAATTGTTTTCAGACATGTATGTTTTGGATACTTGTTACATCAACACATGATTCACAAATACAGTTTTCAGCACAGAAGGAACAACATTTACAGTCAATAATGCTTTCTTCTTTTTCAAAACCAAAGACCGATAAAAGTTGATTCCTTAGACATAGGGAATCAGTTTTACAGTAGTTTATGATGTCTTCCTTGATCCCAGGCAGATTCTTACCTATATCACGATTTGAATAGTATAAAGTTGCATATGAAGGTTGTCCACAACGACCTGCACGCCCAATCTCCTGCAAGTATTGCGACAAATTTCTGGGAGGACATGCGTGAATAATATGTGTTACATTTTTGGGATCAAATCCCATTCCTGCAATTGATGTTGTTAAAACCAACCGAATAGTTGGGTTCTCCTTTTTCAGTTCTGCTATTGTACGATTAATTACATATTCATCTTGTCCAGAACATATTGCACTGTAGAGCGATTCATTGATATTTAAAGAACCAAACAAACTTTTTAAGTATACCAAAGCTTCACTCATGTAATATATGGGCAAAAATAATAATGTTACTGGGAAATCTGCCTTCTTTTTGTATAGATCATTACATAATTTGTGGACAATTTGTTCATATTCATTCAGAACATCAGGACCTTGGTCTTTCCTCCTTTTCATTAAGAATATATTAGGTCTGTCAGGTGTATGTTCTATAAGGTGAAAATTCTCAAGTCCCAGCTGTTTTGGAATTGTTTTCTTCTGTGAAACTGTTAAAGTACCACTCAAACCTATCACTGGCACACATGGAAAAAAGGATTTTACACCTCTAAGCTTTTTGAAGGCAGTTCTGAATTCTTCTCCCCTGAAATAAATTGTCATAATTATTGATTATATAATCATGAACTAAGAAATGTGTGATTGAGACAACATCCTGATAAAATTGTACATTTAATTATTCCGATCATTAACTATCTAAAATTTAAGACATGACTTAACTTAAAATATGTATATTGTCTCTACAATAACAATACAAAATGTGTCATGGAAGTCACCACGAAGAGTTGTGTCATTTTTAGGTCAACTTAGTCACTCGCATGCGCGGATCTAGAGGGGGGTTCGGGGGGGGGGGGGGGTCAGGACCCCCCCTGGAATTTCTACGTTTAAAAAATGTATATACTAAAGCAAGAGAAAAGTCACCTTGGACCCCCCCTGGAAAACGCTGACCCCCCCTGGTGAACATGAATATGTGTGAAATGGGTATGAAAAGTGAAGGATTTGAGGCTATAGAATAGGGATGGGTATCGCCAAAAATTTCGTATCGCAATATATCACGATTTTTTCCCACAATATTATGATAATATCATGATATTTTTAAAAGCAGTTTTTACAATGATTTTATAAGAAAAGTCATTATTTTTCTAAAAAAATATGCTAGAAAAACAAAATTTTACGTTCTTGAATTTTTTATGTGTATAAAATCAATTATGTTTGGACGGTAAGATGTCGTTCTTTTCACTTTTTACAACATTTTTTATACTTTCTGCAATTGTAATTTGAAAGATTGAACAAATAAATGAATAATTTCTGGACTTTATAATATGTACCTAAAAACCGGTATTTAGGTCTCCGTATCACGATACTTATCACGCAACAAAAAATCGCGATATACCGGTATACCGATAAAATCGCACATCCCTACTATAGAAATCATAGACTACCCCAAACAAGAAATTTCTGGGATTGGAATTTTTTTTTTGGATGGACCCCCTCTGGAAAAAATTTCTGGATCCGCGCCTGACTCGGGTGACCTTTTGTTATCCATTTGCGTTCGTTGGCATTTGTCATGCGTCATTTCTGATGAGCGAAGATGTCTTTTTTGAAAATTTTGAAATATTTGGTTCCAGGGTCAATGGTTCCCGTAGGGTGGGGCGCACGTGCACAACTGTTAAGTGGAAATGCCTTTTCATTTGTTACTCTGATCTATAATAAATAACCAAAGTAAGTATGCATGCATGGTGCCCCATTCAAAATCGTGTCAATTCATGGCATCTGGTTACCAAATTCAGTTGTTGGAAAGATGTTTGCATGATACTCAGCCTAACTCAGGTGACCTATAACGCCTGTGGGCCTCTTGTTTAGCGTGCAGTCAGATGGGGAAAAAATCAGTACAGTTTGAGCGAAAGAATAAATATTTTCACGATAATCAATAAAGGAGATTTGCTTTTGGTTATTTTGTCTGAGTATTAAATAAAAAATATTTTGAAAGGGTACTTGTATGTTAAACTTACCATTTCTCTATAATATGACATTCATCAATTACAACGGCGACTACTTTTGAAGCAAACTGCTCATCTGATAATATTTCATGTCCTTTTTTTGTGTTAAAGAGGGCCTCTGGATGACATAATACAATTGAAAAGTCCCCCTTCTTCACTCTGTCCACATCCACCTCCCACTCCGATATAAAATCCTCCTCTGTAGTATCTTCAACTTTGGACACAATATTAAGTCTACATGCACTGATGCCACGAACTTTCAATGCTTCGATTTGATCTTTTTGAATTATATTTAATGGTGAAATTGTCAAACAAACGGGGGCCTCCTTGTCTTTGCCAAGAACCTTTGGGAGTAGATGATATATGAGACTCTTTCCATAGCCGACTGGCAAACTAAGCAATAAATCTCCTTCCTTGGTATTCAAAAGATATTCAAATGCTTGTCTTTGGCGGTCCTTTAAGACAATATCCTTTCCATATTCCTGTACAATTTTGTCTAAATCTACCGCTTCCATGATTGTTTACATTAGTAATGGAGGATTACTCCGCGAAATAATCCTTTGTTTGTGACCGTTATTTGCCGATAAATTCTTCTTAATTTTAATATTTTAGCTAGAATTTAACATCAAAATATATAAACAAATACATTAAAATGTATAATTCTAATATCATGGTTGAAGGTGAGTTTTGCCAAGAATCTTGTCATTTGGATAGTCTAGGCGTTAACAGAGGTGTTGTAGCGCAAGCGTATACGCCCTCTGGTGAGAGATTGCATAATACGATCGACAAAATCTATGCAGTTTTCGGAGATCAAATGTTCTAACTATTTATCGTAATTCCACTGGGTAAATTTATCACCTTTTTCAACACTTTTTTGTATTCGCACAAAACAGAATTATTCAAAATCGTATTCATGAGACGAAGAAAGTAGATATTTAAGCACGTTAACAGATTAACTTTTTAGAAGCCTTTCTAATAATGACTCTGGTATATAGGCTTTTTTTCTATATCTTTCCTTATCTTTAATAAGATACAGAAAATTCTTTGTAATAAAAAATAATAATCAATTTTACAATTATAGTGATTTTGAGCTTAAATGATCTAACAAAATGTCTGTACCTTCTATAAACGTTTTTCCTATTTTTATCAAAGCATACCCTAATTTTTAGTATATGGTACGTATATGCATATACGTGGTATTTAACACACACCCCCCTCCCTCTTTCCGAAAGAAATCAAACACAAAACAGTATCAGGGAACAATAATCACTGTTAGAATTGTTTAGGACAATTTCTTCCTAGTTTAGCTTGGACTTTCTGTAAGGCGTGACATTCTCGGCGTTACATAATTAGCTTCTGAAATTTACACAGCTTTTCTTCACTGTTGAAATATACATAGGATAGAAATTCGGCCAAATGTCAACTGGTGTAGCAAACAGTCAATTAAATGTTCTCGCATGGCACAGAGGCGGGGCTTAAGTCGTCTCATCGTTGTCAACAACAATTTAAAATTCCTGATGTTATTAATTTCTTAGCAAATGAGAATCTATTCGCCTTTTGTCAGACGCTAGTTACGTTGCGCCGAGAATGCTACGCCTACCCCGGTAGTCCAAATTTATCTGAGAACTGTTCTAATTTAATGGGGAAAATACATTCAAAAAGCATTTATGATTGGAAGTTTGGTCTAAGGGTAGATCACTCTAAATGTAGAAAAATACCCTCAGAATAATTACATAATGTAAAAAAAAATTGTTTTTGCGTTTGCTTCCTCAGATACATATTGAAAAAAAAACAATTATCCTTCCGGAAAATGCCCTTTGGCAGCTACTTTTAAATCCCCTATATTGCCAATAAGACCAGGTGCTAATGAAATAAATTGAAGTTAATAACCCAAGCAACCCTATATAAGTGAGAATAATCGCAAGCTACTGGAGATAATTCTTAAGAAAAAAAACATCCAGAAAAAAAATTCTTGTGTGACCATTTGATAAATGGTAAATTTACATCAATTGATATGTTTGGTAATACACAGTGCCTCCTATCCGTAGTACTATTGATTCTGAATAATAGAGGGATTGCAAAACAAAGTCAAGATGATGTTAAGATCACGGAAGACTTTGATTTTAATATCACTCACATAATCATTCAGAGCATCCTTCTTTGTGGACCAGACGTCGTCTGCGATAAGTCGATCCTTTCTTCTCTTGGGATTCGAATTGACTCAGATGTGGTTCCTCCGAACAGGTGCCCGTATTGTTCCTGTCAGGAATATGACTGCTATTCTTATTCCCTATGGTCTGACTATACCTGCTGTCCCGATTTATTCTTTCAAAAAGGTCTAGTAGAATGCACCGATACTTACGTTGTTCCATTCAGATTTTCAAAACCAGATCTCATGGTGTCCCGTTGTCCGGTTGGTACAGAGGCCATTTTATCCGGTAACTGTACCAAGGAACATGAAGAGAAAGATCGGCTAACGCAACCACCGGTTGCTTCATCAACAAGTTGGATATCCTACAAAAACAAATACTGCGCTTTGTGTCATAACGAGACGAATTACCTGGAATGGGTATTATCTTTCAAGTGCCTAGTTCCAACGGACATCAACCATCGTTCGTCATCCGATGATCTAATTGCTTTCGCCAAATCAGAATCCTGTGGCATTAATTTCGAGCATCCAGACATAGGGCCACATATAAAGCTCTGTCCTACTCGTTACGATAAAATAATCGGTGCATGCAATGTATCAGGCACTTGGTTGCATTATGACGACCAAATACAAACTGCATGTCAAAGTGGGTATGAAGCACGTTATGGCATATTTAAAAATATTTTCTGCAAAATTTGCAACCCCCCGAAATTCGAAGAGCGGGTTTTGATTACATCCTGTGAACACTCAAGCATCTTTGAGGATGCTTGCTTGAATCTGACTTTCCTGCAGGCTTCAATCCCCTATAAGAATTATTTTTGCTTTCTATGCAACCACGGCGACAATAATGAAGAATACTACAATGATGTTAAGTTCATAGCCGCCAATGAGACATATTGGGGAAACAAATTTAAATTTGACATTGAAATTGCATATATTGCAGACCATGTAAAAGTGTATTTGCAGGAAAATGTGGAGAAAATAGAGTCAAACGTACTTAATATAAATACAGAGGGCATAAAACCAACAGAAGAGCCGATGCAGATTAATTTTCCAACAACGGTTGAAAAGGTCGAGCTGCAAATAGATAATACCGTCTGTTCAACGAGAACAAGTGATGGAACCTCTCCGGATACTTCGCCCGCTAATCTCTCACTTTTTCGTTATTCCGTCAACTTGACAAATCTAGTTTATGCCGGTTTCTCTTTATCAGGAAAAGGTACCTGCACACCAGGGTTATTACCAAACTATACATTGTCCTTACAAAGAGACTGTTCCTGTTCTGTTGGCTGCACTTTTGGTTGCTGTGACGATTTTTCGATAAGGCAAAAATGGACTTGCATCAGTGATGTGTACCCGGGAAGCGATGGAAATGATGCGTACAAGAACTTTCGTGCAATAAATGGATGTCTTCGCACGAATTATTTAGGAAAACTCTGCACACAGAGAAATGATTCTCATTTTTACCATTCTACTCCAGTACAACATACATATTGGTTAACCACCTATGCAAACGTATTCTGTTACCTGTGTGAAGAAATCCAAGAAGAACACTGTGGGAAACTCTATTCAAGTTTATCGAATTTAAGTCCTTGGATTTTTAAGGTCACTTGCAAATCATACGTAAATTTTCTCCATTTTCAGTCATTTCAACAAGTGATAGACAGTTTCAAAGAAAGTTCCTGTGATATAAGGTTTCATGTTCCATTTTTAACCGAGAGATGTAGTGACGTTTGCAATGTAGATATATCATCTTGTAATGTGTCGGGGACATGGAAATCGTACAACAAAGATGTACTTATAGCGTGTGAACAAGCAGACGCCTTGACGTTTCCGCCTGTAAGCTCGGGTTCGGCAGTCTACAAAAATAAATTCTGTTTAATATGTAACCCAACTGAAGTGAATTCATCTGAAATAATCCAGACATGTAAAGAAGATAAAGATCCAAACTTAGTCAAAGCTTGTCTTCAATTTCAAAACATTCATGTTTGCTCCCAGTACAAAAACATTTTCTGTGAAATGTGCAATGATGTGAACGTATCATCCTGTGAAGGTATTGTTTATTGGAACTACACCACTGGTGAAGTACATGGGAGTAGTTTTCCCTATGATTTCAGCTTCCGGTCGCCATTTTCATTAGCTGCATATGATAAAAATGATGATCAGGCATTACTGGAGAGCCCTTTAAGCTGTTTACCAAACCAAATCTACGATGAACGTCTTGTAAGTTCTATTTTCTCCCTCACATCTCAGAAAATAGTCGAATCTATACTTTTAATAAGTTATGTAACATTTATGAATACGTTTTCTTATTATATCACAAATGTAATAAGTTTCGCTATAAACCCTTAAAAATGCTGAGTCACACCGAAAACAGTTATGTCCGCCAGAAACAGTTATGTCATTCCCAACGGAAACAGTTATGTTATTCTTTCGATCACGTTCATATGTTTTTACGTTACGCATTTTAGTTTGGGTTCGAGATTTAATGACGTCGGTTGCTAAGTAAAAATAAACAACACAGCGTATTTCTTAACATCAAGAAGGCATTTTTGGATTATTTGTGTAAATTTTTACGTTTTTGAATGATTTTAAATTTTCTTTTAATTTTAAAAATGTCATATAACATATACCACATGGCTTCTTGGGCGACTATAACAGAATATTTGGCCCTCGGTGACAGGAAAGCCCTGGAAAGTTATGTCACCCTCAACCTTCGGCATCGGGTGACATAACACTCCAGGGCTTTTCTGTCACCTCGGTGCAAGTATTCTGGTATGTCACCCTCGAAGCCATGTAATATATGTATAATGTCCCACGGTTGTGATTTTTGGGGAAAACCCCATAGAATCTTTACAGTAGCCTATGTAGATATCTTGTGTGTAATTGTCATTTGACTGGATAAAAATCGTTGCATTGTGAATACTGCCCAAAGGCTAACCAAGCATTGAAGAAAACAATTTAAACACAATAGGTTCATTGCAGCCCAACGAAATGTTTGGTATCATAAAGAGGAGAAAAGTTGTTTCCCTTGTAACCATTTGTTTGACCCCGCAACGGGATATAATTTTTGTAAAGTGTGGATTTGACTATAAGACTCCCCATACAAAAATGTCTAGTTGACTGTCAACTATTCATAAAAAAATAAACAGTCAACTAGTCATCCACTTTATACTCAAAAGCAGTTGACCACGATAATCTGAATGTTTTTTTTCTGACAATTATCAACTGTCTTGCATAAAAATGTCGGTTGACCATCAATAGACTGTTTTTTACCAAATCGACCATTAGTTGAAGGTTAAAACTTCTCATGCGAAATATATAAGGGAGTTGACCATTGTTGAACATTCCGACTTAGTGAGATCTTGCAGAGCTGACTATAGTTGATCACTCGAATAGAGTTTCTCTGACTCTTATTATGTTAGGGTTGAAATGACATCATTTAAAATCCGGTTAAGAAATCCATTAATCCTAATAATCTAGATTTGAATTAAGGTAGAACCTATGTCGGAAAAGTCTTTGTCACAAGATTTTCAAACTTTTCAAAATAATAAATTAGCACTCGCAAATCAATCAGTCAAAAGCACACGACATGTTTCCTTGTCATTAGAGTGTGTTCCCCGAATGGCTACTCGGAAAAAACAACAAGTAATTATCACTCTCAATTAAGGGGCCGTCTAAGGGGTACAGGTAGACTTACCTGTGTTTACCTGGATAAGCAATATTTTATAAATCAGATGGATTCATTCAATTTTATTTTAATTAAGAGGGTTTTTTTTTTATTTTCCGAAATATACTGAATAAAATATAGATAAATAAATATAGATAGATAAAATTAAGATTTAAGAAAAATAAACAAATTTTTTACCTTTAATTTTATTTTTTCCAAACTATTCAATCGTATTGATTGAGAATTTACAAATTATTATCCCATTTTTATGCTACATTTTCAAACTCTTTTAAATAAATTTACAAAAATTATTTTTTTCTAAATAATATAGATATTAATGTATTATAAATAAAGTGTTTCTATAAAATTATGTCTAATTTAATTTATTTATTTATCATTTTTAATTATTAAAACATTCTTTTAAATCATTGTAAAATACAGAAGTTTTTGTTTCAATATTTATAAGAAATATAGACGATTGCAGATAAAAACAGATCACTTTGATTTTTAAGGAATTCCTAAGTTAATAAGCTAATTGATGAAGCATCTGATAATTGATATCAGTTCACTTTAAAATTTTAAATAAGCAAAACTATCGTAATAATTGTCAAAGAAAATGATGTGCTGAACTTGCCTAATGATGCAGTCCAAGCTGTAAATGCAAGAACAACACAAGCTACAGCCCTTACTTGTGATGAAACATATGGAGATGGACTAAATAAATTGTAAATATTGTAAATATGTGTGATATGAAAATGAAACAGTATTATTTAATATATAATGTGAAAATCAGTGCTGCTAAACAATAGAACTTCAAGATAATTTATAGTTTTTAATATGTTTTGTGCTTGTAAAATTATTTATTTAAAAAATAACTATACAAAATATTTATTCATACTAGTGCTCAAATAAAAAAAAATGAATTAAAAATCCATTATATTTTATTTAATTTCTGGTAGATTATTCATACAGGTAAGTCTACCTGTACCCCTTAGAGGGCCCCTTAACTGAGTGTGATATTTACTTGTTGTTTTTTTCGAGTAGCCATTCGGGAATAAACCAGCCTGTGAAACATGGAACGGTATTGTTGACAAACCAATCGTGTAGAATCGTTCGTGTAACGTGCAAGATCGTGCGTGTATCAGACTCAATCGTTTGCAGTTTTAATCGTGCGAGATCGTGCGTTTAGAATCGTGTGAATTTCGTTTTGTAAATTTTTATCGGAATGTTATTTGTAAAATAAGCATTTCACTTTTTTTTTAAATTTATTTATTTAATAATTAATTAATGAATCGCAATATACATAATTGAATGCAGAACGAACTAATTTTTGCTCGTAAACAAGCAATATAGTAAGTCGTACAATATTAAGTTCTCGTCAAATAGCGCAATTAATATTGTGATAAATCGTACTTGGATCTTTAACATTTTTTTAAATCTGATTTTTATTCTTGTTAACTGCTAATTGTGTTAAAGATATTTTTAAAATCAATACATCAAAAATAAATATTTTTTTTTTTACAAATACATAAACATTTCTCAATGCTTACATAAATATTTAGTCGACGAATATACATGCACAAGACATCATTTTCGGAGGTTTTGATTATCTGTGTTTATCTGTGGAGCTTACTTTTAATTAATTTTTAAATTTCTGCAAATAAAAAAGTTAAATAATTGGCAAGTTCATTTTTAGAGATTCACAAACAACGAATCAATGAAAACATACGGATATAATTTGTAATTTATGTCATTCCATGCTGCCATATTTTTTTTGAATCGTATCCCCCTTTCTGCATATCATGAAATCCAATTCAATTAAATTATACGGCCCACATACATGTACATCTTCTGATAGAACGAAAAAAAATCTCTTTTCTCAGGTCAGAGAATTAACTAAATAACTATTTATAATCTAAAATATTTGAAAGTTTTACGTGTATTTAGTTACAGAAATATCCATTCCCGGGTTTTTTCAAAGTCTATGAAATAATATTGATAATTCTTTGAAATCTTAAATTAGTATTAAGCCGTATTTCGTTTTGAAAATATCGATTCCCAAATATTTTGAACTATTTTGAGTGAAGAATCGTGCATTTGCGTTAGCAATCGTGTAACGTGTAGAATCGTGTGCGTGAAGGATCGTTCGTGTAACATGTTTAATCGTGCGTTAATCGTGCGCGATGATTCGTGTAACGTGATCGTTCGTGTAAGTACCACTGTAACATACTGCGACTACAGATTTTCAGTCATTTTTAGCAGGTCGGAGAGAATACTTGAAATCTTTGCATTAACATTTCATTCAATGATTGCGAAAGGAGAGGTCTCTTGAACACATGCAGAACACAGTCGATGTTGTTTTGTCAGAGGTGGTCAAGAAGCCTTTAAACCTTTAGGCCCCCCCTTTTGAAGTCGCCAAGAAATAGTAAAATATTGATGACTTAGCGAAATTAAACGATCAACAGTTATGTTCTCTAATAAGCTGTATTCCTGAAACTATCACTGTCTCTGCTAAAATGTTGAAGACATATTCTGCAAATATATATATATGTAAATGAATGATGAAAAAAAAAAAGATTTTCAAAACAAGAGAAAGAGGGTTTTTAAGCCAAAATTTTAGACATTTTTATCATTACATTATTTATACATTCATAAATAAATTTTATTTTATGCACAAGATGAATGTTAAAGTTATTAATGACGCGTAATTAAATACGATAGAACAATTTCTTGTTTATACATGGCATGATATCTTGTATGTTAAATGTGTTTCTTTAACTTGGACAAATTTCATTAAGATATTTACATGTAGTTGGCAACTCCAGATTTCTTAGGATTTTTGCATTCCTTCAAAATAGTTACGTACCATTCACATTTTTACAGAAGTTGTATACAATGTACATTGTAATTTCATTACACAAGATAATCTTGGATTTGTCATTTTCATTAAGGCCAAGATCTAATATATGAAAGGTGCCTACAGGTTTCTCTAATTCCAGAAATATATTGCATTAGCATTTTAACCAAAAAACATATATAATAAATTAAAGATTATTTTGGCATGATTTCAAATTGAATTCTGTGAATTTCAAAATGCAGTATTTTATACCATTTCTATTGAAGCTGTAAGTACGGGAAAAGGTGACATTGAATTGATTATGACGTCATAATAGATCTAGCACAGCGCAAAACACATCCACTAGTTATGATGTCATACGGCGTAGGTTCTACGTTAATAAACGCGTGTCAGTGTTTTGTTAGACAGTGGGGAATTTTGAATTGAAATTAAGGTTAAGATCTAGCAAATAACTTTAGACTTATTTTTTGGAGCTAGATCCATTATGACGTCATAATCAATTTCAACTTTTTTTCCCCGTTCTTAACGGTTTAAGCAGATTTATGTAGGAAAGAGGGTATATTCATGACATTCGATTTGAAATCATATGAAAAGTAAACCGGATACCTATATTAAATTTGATATTGATTTAAAGAAGAGGCCATGAACATAATAATTACCGTTTTCTGAGATACTAGGCAATCTGGATACATTTTCTTTGTTGTATATGAAAAAAAAAATCCCACATTCATGACTGGTTTTCTTAACTTTTTTTATTGAAAATGACAGTTTAAAATATAGTTTTTCATCTTGTTTACCTAAACATTATGCTACGATATATGTAATATATATATTTATATGTAACACATTTCGTACAAAGGAATCATTCTTACATTGTAATCAATAACAATTTTTACAATGCAATTTACATGATTTATACAAGTATTACATCTTTATCTTTTCGTGTTGCAGAAATCATGTAAGGATCTGATCTGTTTTCCTGGAAAGACCCTCTGGAATGGTACATGTGTTTCCGTTCTGGCAGCATCGATCAACCTGCGTTATACTTTGGCTACTAAAGTCAAATTTACCCTTCTGACAGGCAATACTGGAACAGTCCAAGGAACATTATTCAAGTTCAAAGCCTTACTTTGGGAGAAAATACATCAATTGACCCAGAGAAAAGAGACACATAATACTGCAATTGAAAATTTCATCCTAATGGTCTCCGTGGGCTGCCGTACTTTGAACATAAGGCAGGGAGAATTTTACTTGTATGTTAAATTTTTTATAAATGAACAAATCAACAGAGATAAATTGGATGAAAGACTAATTCTTTTTTTGCAATCTACTACTAATTGGACCCTATCGAACGAAACCATTGCAGAAGTTGAAATGTCTGTTAGTGAAAAAGCATTTATGTTGCCCTACCTCTCAATGCGATTTAACAGAATACGACAATGTTTCATCTTCCAAGACAGACTTAATTGCAAGCCTAGCGTATATAGGAATAATTTAATAAGTCCTTTGCTGACTTGCCCACAAATTCAAATCAAAAACAATGATTTTGGAAAAAAATTGGTCGACATTCAAACTGATTACGCCTTCTCAGGTTTGTCTATTTATCAGTCAAGGGCGGCGAACATTGGATTCCGGATTTGTGCCAGAGACTTATCTAAAATTAAATTGACGGACTTGAAAGAGAGCCGGTTTTTGTCTACATTAACTTTGATTTGTATTTGTGTCTCTCTTGTAGCCCTTTTACTAACGTTCTTTACGTACTGTCTATTCCCAAGTATCAGAACTCTTCCCGGAATTAATAATATGATTTTGGTTCTGTTTTTATTTTTGGCACAAACGTGTCTGATTTTTCGTCCTTTGTCTTACACATCTGGTTTGGAAGTTGTATCAGCTTTGTCCCATTTTTCATGGCTGTTGGTTTTTTTCTGGCTTCAAATCTGCTCTTTTCACATGTTTCGTGTCTTCACTGCCAAACAAAGATGGGGTAATTCTCCAACAACTATCAAGAAAACAGTTACAAAGTATTTCTTGTATGCTTTTGGTAGCGCAACGATTATTGTTACTTCAAACATTGTTATCTCCCTTATATTATCTAATGGTCAAAACACAGGTTATGACAAGGCGTTAACGTTGATGACACATAGAATGGCCTTCATAATAACTCTACTCGTTCCCTTGATTTTCGTCTGCTTAACGAATATATTTTTCTATATTTTGACGGCGTACAAGATCTGTTCCTCTCCTGATATTGAAAGTACAACCGGAAATAGGGTACAATTTTCTGTTTATATCAAGCTGTTTACATTGACGGGTCTTTCCTGGATGCTACAGATCATTGACGCTTTCATTGATGTTTCGGTGTTTTCCTATGTTGTTGCAATTTTGAACGGTTTGCAAGGATTGTTAATCTTTCTTAGTTGTGTCTGTAATGAAAGAGTCTGGAATTTGTACAAGATAGCATTGGGCGAAAATAGACATTTCCGTCCACGTCCTTCGACAACCCGTACCCAATCCTACTCGACTTCAAAATAAACATACCTTTATACACGTGTTTAAATCGAGAATCAACTCAACCTTAAGTATTCCATTTGCAAGGCAAAAGATAGAGTCAAGTGTTATGACTTCAAGAATAATGATTTTTAGAAAACAAGTATTTAATTCAGGATTTTGAACTGAAAGTAAATCTTTTGTTTTCTATTTATACATGGCAAAAGATAAAACCCGTCAGAATATTTTGTCTTCAAGAATTAAAATTTTTAAACAAATATTTAATCCTGGATTTTGATTTAAAAAATCAATAACCTTTTTTAATGAAATATCATTTTGTACGGTAATTGTTTGTTTAAATATTCCCGAGGAACTGTAACAAAGTTTACATAATTGTTTTGAGAAGTTTACCCACCCCATTTCACCTTCTAAAACAATGTTATTCTATCTATAGTTTTGATTTGCTTATCTTTTTTGTTATTCATGTTATTTATGCTGGTGGCATCTTACACATAGGCGTCGGAAGGAAATTGAAAGTAAGGAGAGGGCATATTGAAAAAGGGGGGGGGGGGAGACTAAACCAACAAAAAAAGGTAAATTCCAATTTTCAATACCTACATGCATATATTGTATGTATTTAAACAAAACGGGAGAGGCTATCCCCATTCCTACCCCCCCCCCCCCCTGTTCCGACGTCTATGTTAAATGTGTACATATATTAACATTTCAAATGTCTTTTTTTTGAATAAAATTACAATAGTTA